CCTTCTGCTGTTATCCAAGGTGACCTTGCCCAGTGACGCCTCCTGCCTCCCTCTCTGGCCCGGTTTCGCCGGGTCTGACCTGGAAGACGCCTCCTTCTGCTGTTATCCGAGGTGACCTTGCCCAGTGACGCCTCCTGCCTCCCTCTCTGGCCGGGTTTCGCTGGGTCTGACCTGGAAGACACCTCCTTCTGCTGTTATCCGAGGTGACCTTGCCCAGTGACGCCTCCTGCCTCCCTCTCTGGCCGGGTTTCGCTGGGTCTGACCTGGAAGATGCCTCCTTCTGCTGTTATCCGAGACAGAGGCAAAAGTTGGACAATAAATAAGGAAGACTGAAAAAAAGAATTGTTGTTGTATACCATGCCTTTGAATTATGGTGTTAGCATAAAATACTGGATATACTGTGGATTTACAGAAGAACAAATTGTCTTAAAAGTAGTGTAACCAGAATGCACGGATGGCAAGATTTCCATTATGCAAGATACTTAAAACATGTTATCAGGCAGGAGTAAGGCATAGAGAAGGATAATAAATTGATAAAGCAGAGAGCAAAAAAGAGAAAGATCTTCAGAGAGATAGATTGCCACAGTGGCTCCAACAGGGGGCCAGATACAGCACCCACTTAGAGGAAGGTGCAGGTACTGAGTCGAGTTTCTTTCCATTGTACATAGAGTAGGTAGTTCTGATTGCACACTGTGCAGGTTGTTGCCTTGCTAAGTCAAAGGCCACATATCTTTGGTGGTTTGAATTCATTGGAGGCTCTGAGAAAGATGGTCAATCTCCTTCCAGGTGATTTATACCCTCAATGGAGGGTCAGCTATGAGTTGGTTCTGGCTGGACAACAATAAGCTGAGAGTAAACATAGGATTGCTCTTAATGGGAAAGGAGCTTCAGTGGCCTAACAGATGCCCTACCAACCCCAAAACACAAGGTATGAATCTACCAGCTGTTCCAAGGAAGACAGATGGGCAGTTCCCCTTATGCAGTTTACTTTCTATGAATATCTGCTGGAGGGTCAGATATGGGTTTGTTCCAACTCAATGGTACATAACAACAATAATTAGTGGGAGATGACTTGATAGCACCTAGCAATAACTACATGCTATCACTATTTGTACAACTTTTAATATTCATTACCAAGTCCTTTTATAGAGAGTTAATATTGGTTTATACTATCAATCACAAGAAATGAAAGCCCCTTCTGGAACACCTTTGCAAAATTAGACACAAAAGAAAAACGTGCTACCAGAATGTTCCTTGGAAGTAAGGATGAGAAGATGTCATTCAATACTCTGGGCATGCTGCTGGTAGAAGCTATTCCTTAGAAAGAGACATCATGCTTGGAAAGGTGGAGGATCAGTGAGATAGGAAGATCCTCAAATGAGACAGACTGGCACAGTGACTGCAGCAGCAGGCTCAAGTGTGTCAGAGATGATAGGATGGCACAGGATAGGACAGGGTTCAGATCTATTGTTCACAGGATTGCTATAAGTCCTACTTGACTCGATGGCACCTAACAATAGGAATTTATATTTTTTTAATATTTCTGAAGCTGAACCTCCAAAGATATACTCATTAATTCCGCTCATATGAACCGTTTTTTCATATGTTTTGCCCATTTTTCCTCTTCTGGTGTTGGGTTGTTATTATGCAAGATTTAAGGTGAGGAAGAATTCAGTCATGTGATAGACACTTCCCATTTTCCTTTTAATTTGGTTAGATGTTTCACTTCCCTAGTTTTTATAGACAGTTCTCTGCTTTTTATTTTATGGTAGGTAGTAATAAGTTTTCTGTACTTACACATTACATTAAAAGTTTTTCTTTTTAAAAAATTTATCCTGATTATTTTTACCTATTTATAAGGTCGCTATGAGTCGCAGGTGACTCGACGGCACATAACAACAACAATAATTTATTATTTCAAGTAATTTCTGGTATCAATTAACTGTGTCTAGAAAAAACTTCTGCTGGGCTTCTTATTAAATATTTTATAATGTATCTTCTCACAGAAAACTATATATCTATATACTTAGTCCAGAAAGTTGAAATTTTGCTACTACATGAATGGGATCTTCTTGCCTGTTCTTCTATTTCTCAAACTTGTTTTATGGAAGAAAGTTCTTTTTATTTTTACCTAACTGAGTTATATTTAGTTAATTTTATCAGTGACAGAAGGATGGGCAACCTCTTTCTGTGTGATTAACTTCTGAAAACTCGCTGGAGGGTCAACTATGGGTCAGCTCCAATTTGCTGGGATACAACAACAAATTATAACAATAATAAAAGTTTTGCTATAATTCTTCTAGGCGTTTTCTAGGTAGAAAAATAAAACTATTGGAAAAAATAATTTTGTCATTTTTCCAACAGTTTATCTCTTCCATAAGCCTTATGGTAAACAGTGGCCTTTCCTGAACAATGTTACTGAGAGTTATTAGGCCCTTGTTTCAACTCTAAGAGCAATAATCCTCGCTTTTCATCGTAAGGTGCATTATTTGCTTGAAATATTCATTATAATAAGGATACGTTCTCCTACCAGTTTAAAAGATGACTAGGAAAAGACAAAATTGTTAGGTCTTTCAAGTACATGAAATGAGAAACTTCTTCTTTCATTTCTTTATTGTTATCATATTGGTAAACAAATATCAACATTACTACTAGATAACTGTAAGGCACTGATCACAAAAACAGAGGCAGGTATTATTGCTCGCATACACAAACAGGGAAATCAAAGGCCAGGGAGGTTAAATAATCTGCTCAAGGAGTCTAGAAAACAGAGACAGACTGAGATTATTTAAAATTAGGTAATCTGGCTCTAAACTCTCTCTCTTAAACACAACAGTCTGGTGGTCATCACTCTCATAATGAAGCAATTCTTTCCTAGAATATCATCTATGTGGTCATGGTACATGGTTCCTGAAATCAGTTCATCAGTATTTTATTTTGCATCTTCCCATCTGCATTTACATAGAAAATCAGAGCATGTATGCTTATTTTTTGAAGTCCTTTGTTGGGGAGGCTCAGTGTTAATACAACTTTGTCAAATGGTCTGCAAATTTCTACCATGGAATAGTTTATCAAGCATAAATGTTACTTAGCTCTCAAATCTACTTTCAAACCTTAAAGTAAGTTTCTCTGGTTTCAAGTTGTGGAAAAAATTGGTTTAGAAAATAACTGCAATTTATTTTTAATGAATAAAAAGAAACATTTCAATTAAAAGCAACTTGTTGTTATGTGCCGACAAGTTGCCTGTGACTCATAGCAACCCTATGTACAACAGCCCTGAACCCTGCTCTATCCTGTGCCAATCTTATTGTCTCTGACACACCTATCCCCACTGCCCCGGTCACTGAATTAATCCATCTCTCTTGTGCTGTCCCTCCACTCTCCCAAGCATGACGTCCCTCTCCAAGGATTGGTCCCTCCTTGCAACATGTCCAAAGTATGTCAGATGAGGCTTCAGAACCCTTGCCTCCAAGGAGCAGCCTGGTCTTACCCTCTCTAGGATAAACCTGTTTGTGTTTCTAGCAGTCCATGGTATATTTAATACTCTTCTCCAGCACCACAGCTCAAAGGCATCAATTCTCCTTCTATCACCCCTAGTCACTGTCTAGCTTTCTAATGCATAGCAAGCAACTGCAAAGCCTATGGCTTGGATCAGGTGCACCTTAGTCTCCAGACTGATATCACTGCTCTTCAGTACTTTGGAGAGGCCTCTGACAGCAGATTTTCCCAATGCAATTTGTCTTTTAATTTCCTGGCTGCTCACAGCAGCTTGAGGTGTTCAGAAATCACACAGAAGCCCAGAAAGCTTAAGATATAAGCCATCACATCAAGGGCTGGATAGAGAGAGACAGGTGTTGAATAGAGTAGGTGGAACTAGAACAAAATGCTGGTGGAGCAGGGAATGGGGTGGGTCCAGACACACGTGTTAAAAGTGGGAACAACACTGAATCTATTGGTTATTTCTACACTTGGGAAACATCTCTGATCTGCTCCTTTCCATAAAATGTCTGTCTGTCAGATAATGTTTTAAATCTGAGCATTCAAATTGAGACAGACTAGGAAGGAGGATTGGCCATCCACTTCCAAAATAGTAGGCCTTTGAAAACCCTGTGCACAACAGAGCACACTTAGACCAGCAGATATGGCAACTGAGGCTGAGCCCTCAAGTATGGAAACACAAAGGATGAGAACAGTTGTGATTAGTGACTAGAACATGGAATGTGAGACCACGAAGGTAGAAAAATTGTATATTGTTATGAAAGAAATGGAACGCACAAATAATGACATACTAGGTATTGGCAAAATGAGATGGACTAGCAAGGGACATTTTGAGTCAGACAATTACATATGATCAACGATGCTGGAGATGAAAAGGTGAAGAAAAATGGGGTTTCTTTCATAGTTAGAAAAAAAGTCATTTTTAGATCCATCTTAAAATATAATATTGTGAGTGACAGGATAATATCCATATGGATACAAGGAAGTCCAGTGAATACCACCATCATGCAAATATATGCACCAACACCCAGCGCCAAAGAAAAGGAAATAAAAGATTTCTAGCCACTTTGGCAGTCAAGAGATCAAACAAACATACAATCAAGCTGCATTAATAATAATGGGTGAATGCAACTTACTGCACATTAAATAAAGTCTATTTAGACCAAGCATTTAACTAGAGAAACAAACAAAACAAACAAGCATGTAGATTACATCAGGAATAATCCAGAAGACACTTTAAAAAAAAAAACCACAAACATAACCACAAAAGTCTGGAAAAGTCAACCTAGCTTTAAAACTTACAGCACTGGAGAAAGTCATTCCCATCTCTCCGATGAGGGCCTTGGTTTTCTTCAGGGGTGTCTGTAAAACAAGGAATCAGCAGTTAAACAATTTTTTTCTAGTAAACCAATCATACAAACCAGAATGACTGTTTTCTTGCAAGCTACCCAAATATTTCATTCCTGGTGGTCAGATCAATTTGACGCATGACTTGGCTAAGATAGCTCTAGTATGATTTCAGAAATGACCCAGACAGATCTGTCTATTCAGTGGGACCCAGTGCAAAAGATAGGGGGGAACAGAATACTTCTAGCAAGGGGCATCCACAACTGACTACATCATTCCAGGAATGCTGATTTCAGTGTAACAAAATTTTACGACCCTTTTTTTATTCGTAAACAGGCACTTTATGCAGTAGATAGGCAAAAAAAATATGTTGGTTTTTTTTTAGGACTATGGTAAAATATTTTATTTCATTTTACCTTAAATATAAATTAAAATAAGGCATAAGAAAAACTTTGTGACCACAATATGTACATATGGAAAACAGTCCATTCAAAGGATGCAATAATCTGACAGTATAATGTAAGCTTTAATATACAAATCAGATGTCATTTCTTCAGCTGTTAGTCACTCACAAAGTTTAAACTTTATGCCCAATATTAAAATAGTCAAATACTAAAAAACCTCATTGCCATATAAGATACAATGTGGGAAAAATACATATCTGTGGCTTTCTACACAGCCCAAACCAATCCATTCTATACAATAGTGTTCCAAAATAGAAATGGTGCTTTACATGCATTAAAACATAGAAGGCTAGATGTTCTTCTATAATTCAACATGAAGGAAAGCAAAGAGAAAACACCCTTTTAACAAGACAGCTACACAGCAGGAGTGGAATGTAGAATAAGATTTTGTCATAACACAATCTCGGATAAAATTAAGAAAATATTAAAAAGGACAGTTCCTTTCAATTACCATTTTAAAAATGAAGACAATTTGTGATTTTATTTTATCTAATCGAGAAAACTAATTTTCAAACAGAGAAAACGTGAAAGGGTGAAAGAAGAAAAAATAACCACCAATAACCTGATCCTTGGTGAATTTTAAACATCAGCCCTGCCTTTGGGCTGCATTTTGGCTGATGTCTGTTGACAGTTTCCTAAAAAAATATGTTGATGAGAAAACAGAAATAAAAGAGAGCTTGGATTCTGGAAGTCAGGCAAGGCCCCAGGGCTCAGAGCGCACCCAATAATCAGGTCCATAGTGGTGGCCCATAGAGGCACCCTTTTTGCCTAAAAGGTTACCGAGTATCACTGCAGAATTGAGCCTGAAACGGGTGGAGAAGAGGTGTGTGCAGAACCTGGCCAAATACAGGACAAAAGCCACTCTCTATATCCTTGCTTTCTCGCTTTCATTCAAAATCTAAGACTCTGACATGTACAAAAACCAATTACTTCAAAATGTAGAGAACAGATGTTTAAAGGTGGTTATTGAAATACAAGTAAAAGAAGCTCTAAGAGTCTTTATTCAGATTACAGACAGCAAGAAAGTACTACTGAGGCAGCCCATTTGTGTGTTATGTATCGAGTCAACTACCACTCACAGAGACCCTATGTATGATAGCTTTGAACACTGCTCTGTCCTGAGCCAAGCCAGTCTCACTGACTCCAACACATTTACCCCCATTATCCCAGGTACTGGGTCAATCCATGTCATCTGGGGCCTTCCTATCCTTTGCTGTGACTCCATCCTTCCCAGTATGATGTCCTTCTCCCAGGACTGGTCCCCTACTGGCCACATGCCCAAAGTATGTAAGATGGAGCTTCAAAATCCTAGCCTCCAAGGAGAAACTTGGTTTCACTCTCTCCAAGACAGATCTGTTTGTTCTCTACTCTTCTCCAGCACCACAACTCAAAGACATTGATTCTTCTTCTTTCACCCTTAGTCAATGTACAGTTCTCTGATGAGTATCAAGTAACTGAGGAGACAATGTCCTAGATCTGGCACACCTTAGTGTCTACACTGACATCATTGCCCTTCAGCACTTTGTCGCTGTTAGGTAATGCCAAGTTATGGCTCACAGTGACACTATGAACAATAGATCAAAACCTTCCCATTTTACACTGTTACGAGCTTCACCTTGTTTAAGTCCACTGTCAGTTCACTGTGATTATTAACAACCTGGGAATCCAAGACCATCTGAGGGGGTTTGCGGTGCCATATTCCAACAGAAATGTATTGCAATTTTTTATAAATACATCCCAGTAGCTAGTTACATCAAAAGCTTTCTTTTTTGGGTAAGTCCATCTTAAATGTATTAACATACCAGTAATGCTAAATGTTATGCTAATTTACTTTATAATAAATCATGACCTAAGCAAAAGTTTACAAAGTAAAATGGTTTTCCGTTCATACACATTTCGTTTTGTGACTGCTGTTGCTGTGAGGTGCCACTGAGTAGAGTACAACTCATACTCATCTATAGCTTGTTTTATATTAATAATTTAACTACAATCTTCCTACTTCCTCCTGGGTTTCACGACCATTAATCCCTCTATCCTATCCTTTCCTGCATCCTGAACTTTATTCATGGGCAGATGCAGCCCTTTTGATCTTAGGTGACTATTCTAGAGAGTTAGTGCCTCCCTGGTGTTGCTGGTCACATACCCTATATTGTATTTGTCAGTTGCATAGACCATGAATCACCACGACCCTGTGACTAGAAGACCTGAACTCTGCCCTGTCCTGCTCCATCCTCACCATTCCTCACACACTCGAGCCCATTCCTATAGCCACTCTGGCAATCCATCTTAAGGGTCTTCGTCTCTTTCATTAATCCTCCACCTTTTCAAGTATGTCCTCTTCCAAAAGCCTGGCCCCCAACAACATACCCAATATATGTAAGATGAAGTTTCACCATTTTTATCTCTAAGGAGCACTCTGGATGCACCTTCTCCAAGACATATTTATTCATTCTATTGGCAGTTCTTGGGATATTCAGTATTTTTCTCCAACACCACAACTCAAGAGGAATAGATTCTTCCTCTGTTATCCTTAGTTTTGTGCATTTTTCTTTGAAAGCTGAGCCACAGGGATGAGTTTCTTTAAGGTTTAAAAGGTGATGAAAGGCCATAGTCTCAGGGATTCCATCAGTCTCTATTTGGTGTGTAAGTCTGGCCCTATTTATGGGTTTTAGTTTTGTTTCCCATTTTCCATCCAGTCTATTGCTTCAACTATGAACATTTCTAGAGTGGTCAGTGGTGGCTGCCAGGCACCCTCTAGTTCTTTCAGTCACACAGTTGTGGAAGATGAGGTCTGCATGAGACCATATGAGTTATAAGTATATTTTGTTGTTTAGTAATTTCTTAAAGACTGATTATTGGGGGGTGGGGGGGAGGGACGTGGGAATTGTACAGTAATGAAGGAATTTTTTTTCTTTTTTCTTTTTTCTCTCTTCGGAGGGGGAAGCGAGCTGGTGGGGAGGGGTGGGCAGGGAGAAAATTGCGGCAATGAATGAATGGAAATCCAAAACCTCTGTAAAAAAATTTTTTTTAAAAAAAGACTGATTATCCAAATACAAAACTTGATTAAGAAGATTCTAACACTGTATGAATAACTTTTCCTCATTGTTTCATACAGATAGTGGGAAACCTAAGAACACTTGTGATGTGCCATTGAGTTGTTATGTGCCTGCGATTCATGGTGACCCTATGTACATTAGCTCTATGAACCTTGCCCTATTCTGAGCCAATCTCATCATTTCTGACAGACCTAATCCCATTTCTCTTATCACTGGGCCAATCCATCTCATCCTGGGTCTTCCTCGCCTGTGCGGTCTTTCAAACGTGGTATCTTTCTCCCAGGACTGGTCTCCTGGCCACGTGCCCAAAGTATGTGAGGCAGAGCTTCAAAATCTTTGCCTTCAGGGAGTACCTGAAGTTTCACCCTCTCCAGGACAGATCACTTTGATCTCCTGGCAGTCCACAGTACGATCAACACATTTTTCAAGCACACCACAACTCAAAGGCATCGATCCTTCTTCTAAAGTACAAAATATACTCGAACTTATTTAAAAGATACTTTGAAAATGTAATGGGTAATCCATCACACAGTCCCAGGATAGTCAAGAGAATCCATACAGTTTTCAAGGGCTGATATTTCCTAAGTAGATCATCAGGTCTCTAGGAAGACTTTAGTCAAGTACATTAATTACCTCCTCCACCTAGTGACTCTGTTTGACACGCAGTGGTAGAATGACCAGCTACAGATTACAAGACAGCCCAGGGTTCTCAGGACTGGACTTGAAACATTAAATCTGTTTTTCCACCTCTCGAATTTAGTTCCTCTCCCTAGAACAACACCTACAGACTGCTAAAGATTTAAAAATCAGACAGGATTAACATGTCAAAAAAGAAGAAATCTGAAATATACACAGTTATATACTGAGTTATTTCTTATGGAAATGGAAGGAATTGAATTCTGAATATCAGATGTGAGTTGTGACCTTGGATTTAAACAAAGACATATGAGCTTAACCTCTTAGTTAAAACTGTAGTCTATGAATTATTAGTTTATGACAAGATTAGCATTTTCTGGCTAAAGGACACAAATGAAATTTAAAAAACAAAATGAGTATGTACAGTGGTTGGAATGGTGACAAAACCAAGGAAAAATCCACACCAAATTAGTGTTTGTACTATCAGGTTATTAAACAACTAGAAAAAGATGTGACTTCCCCTCATAAAGTTAGTGAAAACAGGAAATTAATTTGAGGTTCTATGATGCCAATGAAGCTGAGCAGAAATAAAATGACAATGAGGCATATGTCGTTGTCAGATGAAGTATCAAAACACAAACATCTTCATCATTAGCTAGGAAAGACCCTCATACACTACAACACAGTCCCAGGGAAGAAATACAATTTACCTTCATAATCCAGGTTTATCTATTCCTATAGATCTGCTACTTTTATTCCATATAATACAGAGACGATTCTAGCCTACTCTATCCCACAAGAATGCAAAAATACTCTGGCTACATAATGATTTTACGATTCCATTATGGGTTGAAAGCAGCAGTTTAAAGGACACTGAGGTAGGGTGTTGCCACACAGGAAAAGTTGGGAACTTCTTGCTCAAAGTATTTTCATATCTCAGTCACAAGCAAAAAAGAGAACTAAACAAAGTGAGCAGCTAACTCTACCTGAACTGTTCCTGTGACCTCTGGCAAGCCACTCTGTGCACTTCAGTTGTCCAGAGGGTGTCTCGCTCAAAACAAGTACCTCTCTGGTGATTTGAAAACACCAGCGCTTCAAGGGGGCACTCTCCTCCCATGCGATTTGCAGGCTCAGAAAACCAGCTACAGTCAACTCTGAGTCAGTTCCAATTCAAAAGCAATGAGTTTTTGATAAAATGACAGTAAGGAGCTTTAGTGGCCTAGTCCATATGGAGTTGCTGTTCAAATCCACCAGCAGATGGGAAATCTTCTCTCATGCTATTTACTCCTTGAAACCTAACCAGGGAGATGGACTATGAGTTGGTTCCTACTTGGGCGCAAAGAGTTAAGTTTTTGGTGCTGGAAATAGCAGAAGCAAATTAGCTTTGGGAAAGAATGAATTCTCCTGGCAGACAGCACTCGTGATACAAAATGGAACACTGATCAGCCAGGTGTTCAATTAAGCAAATTGAATTTTCTTGGGGTTTATGAGGAAAAGCTCACTCGGAAGAGCTTGACAGCCTATCTACTCGATTAGTTCATTTCAGCATTTACTTTATAAACATCAGGGACATAGGCTGTAACCACAAATGCAGAGGTGGCCTAGGTCCCTTATTAATGGGGGCTTTATCAGTGGTCTGATTCAAAACAAAAACAGGACTAGTGTGGTCTTGGCCAGCACCTGCTCCTCATTAGCTCAACCCACCCCCCAACGCGTCCACATTTATCTTGAGATTTGAGAGGCAAACTCCCGAAGATGCAGCAAGATCTTGATTAGAATCCCCACGTACAGGATGAGACGTGGGATGTGTATATGAGTGCGAGTGAGTATGTGTATACAAGAGCGAGCGAGCAGGAAAAGGGAGAGACAATGAAAATATGCGTACATGGGCCTCGCATGGCAAAACCAAAACCAAACCCGGGCTAACCAGTTCGCGGACTGTGGATGAGGAAGGGGAAAGAGAGCAAGAAACAAGAGTCAGTGCAGGAAAGCGGAGGGGGCGGGGCTGAAAGAGAGAAGAGTTACCATGCCGCCGAGCACTTCGTCTTGGTCGTCTGTGAGCAGCAGCACCACATTGGGCCTCCGAGAGCCCGCCGCCACCCTGGAGACCCCTAAGCAACTGTCTAGGGTCAGCAGCAGCAGCAACGCTAGGCTGCAGCCACTGCAGGCGGGCAGGCGAAGGGGACTGCCCCGCCAAGGCCCACCTGGGGCCAGAGGCTGGTGCCGCATGGCGGACAGGGCGCCGGGGGTGCCCCGGGACGGTAGAGGGGCGCGCAGGTGGCGGGAAGGACAGAGTGATGAGTCTCAGAAGGAGAAGGCTGTGCAGTGAAGGCCGGGGTTGGGGGGGCGGTCAGGCGTTTTCTCCCCAGGCGCGATCACGTGAGCCAGGCAGGGGGCGGAGCACGCCGCGTGGTCACGTGAGGGGCGGTCGCGGGCTGGGCGGAGTCGGGCGGGGGCTGCGGGCGGGAGCCGGGGAGGAAAACCCTGGAAAGTGGCTGCAAAACTGATAAAGGAGCTGGTGAGAAGATTGGGTTTATGCCAGGCTGAAGCTCCACTCAAGTTCTGGTAGAGCATAGTAGAGAGACTGAAGTGGGGAGAAGATCAGAGGGAAGAGAGTTATGAAACAGCAGCCCGCGGAGGGAAAAGAGAAACTTGATAATTAAGATCAGCTGGTAGTTAGGCTGAACTCTATTGTATTTATTCCCAAGTCAACAAATACTTAACTTACTGAGAGCCCTTATGCCTAATCAATTAATTAATTTTCTCTCCAACTTGAAAAGTAGGTATTAACATTTTCTTTTTCCTCAGCTTTACAATTTAGAACAATGTTGACTATTCTGAGCTTGATGTATATCTGTTTAACCCATAACAAAATGGTTAAAACGATAATAGTAGTAGTAATAATAATAATAGTATAAAAAGCAAAAACGAGTTAATAATATTCTGACACGTTTATTGTAATTGATGGTGTTTTGTTTCGTTGTTTTTTTAATTTTCATTCATTTATTGCTGCACATTTTCCTCCACCACCCCTCCAGTTCACCTTTTTTACATTATTTTTTATTATTAATTTTAATGAACATTTACAGATATTTTGGATTTCCATTCATTCGTTGCTGCACTTTTCTCCCTGCCCACCCTTCCCCTCCAGTTCGCTCCTCTCTTTGAAAAATGAAAAATTCCTTCTTGGTTTGTTTTTTTAAAGCTCCTTCTTCTTTTTTTTTTTTTAAAAAACACTCCAATGCTTATTTATTTTTTAAGAGGCTTTTTGTTGGAAATTACATAAGTTGTAATGGTCTAATACTATTAAAAGCCATTCAGAAAAAACTGCCCCTCCCTCCCAACAACCATCCAGGGGAATTTAAAGTCCTGAACAGAAACCAATTCACTATGGCTTCTACCCTGGTGAAAACAAAAAGCAAAAAGATGAGAAGAAAACAGAAATCAATTACAAGGTGTGTTGTCAGTGTTTCTCAGGAGCAGGCCCTGGCTGGGGCTGTGAAAGTCAGAGCCGCAAGCGGTGTGGCAGCTAGAAGATCTCTCAGCTACATCTTCCTTATCCCAGCATGTCCACGTCCTGACCTAGGTGTCATGAAAATCCTTCAGCAGGGTTCTCCTCCGCTGCAGGAGATTGAAACTGCCAATAGCTTCATCTTGCTTGAATCCACAATTAACACCCTTGGTACCAGCAATCAGGAAATAAGGAGACACATTGCACTAGAATCTGCAGTTATGGACCTTTCCAAATTATTGCGGAGTAGTGATGTCAGTTTAAAGACTAAGGCGCGTCTGATAGTCTTTCTGATTACTTGATAAGCATTTGAGAGCTGGACAATGAATAAAGATGACAGGAAAAGATTTGATGCCTTTGAAAAGCTGTGGTGTTGGAGAAGAAGAGCACTTACCATCCCATGGATGGCCAAGAGAACAAACCAGATATATCTTGGAGAGGGTGCAGCCAAAGTGCTCTTTGGGGACAAGAATGATAAGGCTTCCCCCTCACATACTTTGGACATGTTGTTAGGAGGTGCTTTTTCTTGGAAAGGGACATGATGCTGGGAAGGGTGGAGGGTCATTGAAGGAGACGAAAACCCTCAAACCAGATAGATTGACATGGTGATTGCTGCAATGGGCTCTTGTGTGTCAGGAGGTGTAAGGATGGTGCAGCAGAGAACAGGGATCAAATCTTTTGTTTATAAGGTCACTATGAGTCATACTTGACTCAACGGCACTCAACAGCAACAACTTGGAAAATAATTTCCACATTCTGTTGGACCACCTTTCTTGGAATGAAGACATATATGGATCTCTTCCAGTCAGTAGGCGAGACAGCTGTCCTCTTAATTTCCTGGCACAGAATGGAGAGCATGTCCAGGGCAACATCTGTTAGTTGAAACATGTCATTTGATATTCCATCTATTCCTGGGGCTTTAGTATTTTTGCCACTGCAGCTTGAATGTCATACTTCATTATCATTGGCTTTTGTTTATAAGGTACTTCCTGAAATGTTTTCACTGTCAACAAGCTTGGAAGCAGGAGTGACATCCACTTCTGAAATAACTTGCCTCTGGAAGCTCTATGAACTTGGAGAAACTATGAAAGTTATACAAATGTTCAGATTTTTTGTTCACAGGGTTACTATGAGCCAGCTATGACTTGATGGCACTTAACAAAAACAGTTATACTGTGTATTCCTTCCGCTCATCTTCTTTGGATGTTTCCTGGGTCATTCAAGATTTTGCCCATAGCATCTCTCCATGTTGTAACTCTAGGCGTGATTTTTTTTTTTTTAGTTCCTTAAGCTTGAGAAATAACTCTGACTCAGGATCTTTGCATATTTTGCTATAATATTTTGATTTATCTTCTCAAATTTCCCTTTGAAATCTTTAGTTCAGCTTTTATGCATTTCTTCCTTTTCTTTTTTGCTTTTTGAAGATCTAATGCAATTTTTGTAGTCTCTTCTGTAATCTTTTTGTTCTTTCTCTCTACTCTTTTTTTTAAGAACATAGTTCACTTTATTTGTTATAGAAAATCCACTAGGTGGTGGCCACAGCTGGAGTCTTTACAAGATGATCTGTGAATTCCTGGTAGGGAGACTTCGTGAACACCGTCTCTTTCCAGAGATCTGGGGTCAGATAGCTGTAGGTCTTTGAGATGGCATCAAAGGTGGCCTTAGCAAAGTTGCCCAGGGTAGCTGTGCAGCCCCTGGCTGAGGTGTAACAGTCATCAATTCCAGCCATCATCAACAGCTTCTTATGCACAGGGGCCGAGACAATTCCAGTGCCTCGGGGTGCAGGGATCATACGCACCAACACAGAGCCACAGCACCCAGTCACCTTGCAGGGAACAGTGTGAGGCTTGCCAATCTTGTTCCCCCAGTAGCCACGCCGCACAGGGACAATGGAGAGCTTGGCTAGAATGATGGCCCCACGGATAGCAGTAGCCACCTCCTTGGAGCACTTGACGCCCAAGCCAACCTGGCCGTTATAGTCTCCGATGGCAACAAAGGCCTTGAACCTGGTCCGCTGGCCAGCACGTGTCTGCTTCTGCACTGGCATGATTTTCAACACTTCATCCTTGAGGGACATGCCCAGGAAGAAGTCGATGATCTCAGATTCCTTGATGGGCAGGGAGAAGAGATAAATCTCCTCCAATGATTTAATCTTCATATCTTTCACCAGGCGGCCCAGTTTGGTGATGGGGAGCCACTCCTTGTTCTCGGCTTTGCCTCCTCGAGCTCCACGGCCGTGGCCCCGACCCCGCAGACCGCTACCGAAGCCTCCACGGAAACTGCCGCGGGCTCCCATCCCAGGGCCTCCAGGCCCTCCCGCTGCACCGGCGTCATCCACCATTTGGTGTTTTCTCAGAAAAGCTCTACTCCTTTTTTGTAATGACTTCCCCCCCTCTTCATGGATGATAACAGAATGTGGAAATTGTAAATTAATATCACTGATATCACATGCAAGCAAAATATTGCTGAAGATCTTCCAAAAATAGCTGAAACAGTACATTGACAGAGAATTTCCCAAAGTTTAAGCTGGATTTAGAAGAGCCTGTAGCACCAGGTTTATCATTGCTGATGTCAGATGGATCCTGGCTGAAAGCAGAGAATACCAGAAGAATGTCTATTTGTATTTTATTGCCTATGCAAAGGCATTTGGCTATGTGGATCATAAAATACTCTGGCTAACTTTGAGAAGAGTGGGAATCCCAGAACACTTAATTGTGCTCATGAGAAATCTATACCTAGACCAAGAAGCTGTTGTCTGTACAGAGCAAGAGAACATTACATGGTTTACAATCAGCAAAGGTGTGTGTCAGGGTTGTGTCCTTTCTCTATACCTAATCAATCTGTATTCTGAGCAAATTATTTATGAAGCTACATTCTCTGAAGTGGAGTGTGGCATCAGGATCACAGGAAGATTCATCAACAACCTGTGTTAATATAGATGACACAACCTTGCTTGCTGAAAGTAAGGAGAATATGAAATATTTGCTGCAAAAGATCAAAGACTATAGCCTTTGGTACAGATTACATCTAAACATCAAGAAAACAAAGGTCCTCACTACAGGATCAACAATCAACATTATGATAGATGGAGAAAAGATTGAAGTTGTGAATGACTTCATCTTGCTTGGATCAAAAATCAATACCTTTGGTATAAGAAGTCAGGAAATCTGGAGACATGTTGCATTGTCTGTTCACTGTCAGGGGGCTCTTGAAAATACTGAAAAACAATGACGTCATTTTGAAGACTAAGGTGCACCTGATTCAGACCATGGCTTTTTCGATCACCTGCTATATATCAGAGAGCCAGACAATGAATAAGGATGACAGAAGAAGAATTGATGAATTGTGATGCTGGAGAAGAATGCTGAGTATCACAGTACTGCCAAAAGAACAAACAGATATGTCTTGGGGAGAAGGGCCGCCATTGTGCTCATTGGATGCTAAACTGACAAAGCTTCATCTCTGTTACTTTGGTCATGTAGCTAGGCAAGTCTAGTTTTTTGTAAGAGACATCATGCTTGGAAAGAGGGAGGGTCAATAAAAGAGAGGGAGATCCCCCAACGAGATGGCTTGGCATGACGATGCCATCTATCTTCAAGTGCACCAGAGATAATGAGGATGGCACAGGATACGGAAAGGTTCAGATCAGCTGTTCATAGGGTCACTAGAGGTTATACCAGACTTGACAACACCTAACAACAGTAACAACAACATGGATGATATGCACATTAAACAAACTAGCCCATGCAGTGTATTCTTCCAACCACATTTTCAGTAA